CATACTTAAACAGCTTATTTTAAATAAAAGATGAGCTGATTGTCTATAACATTGTTCGGTATGTTATTATAAAAAAAAAATTAGTATTTTGAACTGTATCAAGGAACAATACTCACAGATTTTAAAATTGGGAAAGTGATCAGCAGTACTATATGACTGTACCTGCAGGTACTGAACTAAAATGGTAAATGGTAAATGACCTGTATTTATACAGCGCTTTACTAGTCCCTAAGGACCCCAAAGCGCTTTACACATCCAGTCATCCACCCATTCACGCACACATTCGCAAACTGGTGATGGCAAGCTACATTTTAGCCACAGCCACCCTGGGGCGCACTGACAGAGTGCTAGACTAGAATCGCTAAATCTAACAAGTCCTTACTGGTTTCCATTTAAATAATGTGGTGTATCTGTGTTTTAATGAGGAAATGTAATATATATGGATTTTAAGTTATTTTGTTATGCATTAGGTGCACATTAAACTTTTTATCTTTCTTGTTTGGGTTGAACACTTAAATTGGTTTCATTTGATCCTAAATACCTTTGTTTTTCAGACTGTCTGGCTGCAATCTTTTGGAGAGAAGCTGTGAAGCGCTGTCCTCAGTTCTCAGCTCAATTAGAATGCTGGACCTGAGTAACAACAACCTGCAGGATTCAGGAGTTAAGCTTCTGTCTGTTGGATTAAAGAGTCCACACTGTACACTGGAAGCTCTCAGGTCAGGATCCAGACTTTTCCAAAAATTATTAAATCAAATATATTCGTGTAATTAAACCCTTATGAAGAAAACATCGAGGGAACAGTTTACCCTTCCCAGGATAGGGTTACCGGGGCCCCGCCCTGGAGCCAGGCCCGGGGAGGGTGCCCGAGGGCGAGCGTGTGGTGGGCCCGAAAATGGGACATCGGACGGCAGGCAGGAGGGGAGGCCCTGGCGGACTGATCCCCGGCTGCCAAGACTGGAAATTGGGACATGGAATGTCACCTCTCTGGTGGGGAAGGAGCCTGAATTAGTGTGTGAGGTTGAGAGGTACCGGC